AGATTAGATTAGATTAGATTAGATTAGATTATCAGATGGATTAAAAGATGGACAATCTGGAACTATCTGGACCCTGACGGAGTCTCCTCCAACTTTTCACCTCCTCCTCCTCCTCCTCTTGTCTTCTCCCATCTTCTGTCAGCTGAACTTCTTTCTTGACCTCCTCCCTCCGGCCGTTCTTCTGTCATGGAGGAGAGGATGAACTCCATGGCCGCCTACAGGCAGTTCCTCCAGGACCTCGAGGAGAAACGAGGTTGGTTCTCTCACCGTTAAAGCTTGTCTGAGTGACGGAGGAGGAGGAGGAACCTGGAACGTTCCTCCTCCGTCTGCGCTCCTCAGCCTCGGTCTTAGCAGCTGGAGAGACAGAGCGATGACACGACGCACGTGTGAGTCGTTCACTGTGGATCAGCTGGTTAAACAGATGTCACACCTGTGAGTGTGTGTGAGTGTGTGTGTGGCGTCTGGTGCAACCAATGATTAACAGGTCTTGTGTTCAGACCTCCAGGTCGTTGCTGCTGTTTCTGTCACTTTAACCCCTCGTTGTCCAAACACTGGGGCGGTATTTAAGTTGGGACCACAGAGGTCGCTCTCCTGACGCCGTAGTTGCGTTCAAAGACCCCATCGTGAAATGGGGAAAATCGCAAAGTAGAGGCTAGATAGTTAGTCTGTTATTTACATATTTATTTACCCTTAATGAACCTTGTTCTGGACGGTTCACTGACCTCCAGACTGTCACTGTTTTTTTTTTACTGTGGCTCAAACTGAGGTCATCTCCAGGCTCTGGACCTTCACGTGTTTACTCACTGATAAGCGGTGGGTCAGCAGGGGGAGCTGTGACCTCCTCCTCCTCCTCCTGTTGTTCTTACCTCTCTGTGATTAGCTTCAGAGGCTAATTTCCTTCTGTGTATGTTCGTTAGCTCCGTGTTCTAGCATCAGGATGTCGACACCTGATCTGAAGGGGGCGCCGGCTTCTTATTGAAGAGCGGAGACGACAGCAGTGAGATTTGCTGAAGTGTCGGGTGACGTGCTACGATGCTGCGATGCTACGCTGCAGCAGCTGCTATGACAACAGTTAGCTGAGCGTAGCACAAACCGCTCTCCTCCTGCTCTGTTGAAATAGGTTTGTCTTCGCTCCCCCTCCTCCCCC